TCGGGGCAGATGTTGATGCAGGTAGCCGTGCTCAAGGCCAGGAATGTGTAAGGAAAAATGCACAACGGTGGGCTCTGACAGAGCTGCGTGTCGCCAAGGGCTTGTTCGTTGTCCTCCCCGCTGTCGTGGAGCGGCACAGGGCAGCCGAGGAGTCTGGTGGTGTGTTTCAATGCTGCGTGTCCCTCACTGGTTCCTCCAGGGGCATGTCTGGCTCACCGGGAGCACTGCTGGCAGCTTATGGAAAATGGAGTTCTGGTGAATGGACTTGGATTATTAAAGATTCATTATTTCGGTGTCCTTAGAAGTGACTTACACGAAGTCCCCCAACAAAGCCAGCAATAGAGCGTGGGCATAACATTACGACCTGCAGTGCCATTCCCTAGTTCACACGGTTTCAGGGGTAAAGTCGATCCGTATGTTGTATTACCTGTGTGGGTTTAGAACATTCCTCTGCTGACTTCTCTGCCCAAAACATCTCCTGTTGTGTCTGTCTCTCTCTCGATATTCAGATAAGTAGTTTTCTATAAATAAATATGCCATCTGTTTGTTTCAAAGAATAGGGTTTTTTTTGGCTGTACTGATGTGGAGCTTCTGAAGTACAAATCAGTGACTTTCAAAACTTGCTTTTTTTTCCCGATTGGAAGCAAATACAAAACAACCCAGCCTGAGCTCCTGTTAAAAATTGAGCTGCCACTGAAGATCTCGTGGAAGTGTGAAGCTGAGTTTTGAAAGTGCTGGGGGCTTCAGGCAGCTCCCAGAGGAGTTGTGAGCCCAGGCTGATGAAGAGAGTGGGGACTGATCTCACTAGTATTTCTGTGGCTTCTCTCCAGGAATTGCTGAGGCTCTGAAGAGGAAGAGTAACAAAAGCTAATCAGAGTTTTGACAGAAATGGTTCTCCCCTGGAATTTCCCCAGCATTGATAGATCTGCAGAGGACATCCAGCTTTAGACAACTGTGCAAACTCAGAGATAAACCTGTATTGTCACATTTTTCTTACGTGTTCTAAGGTGCCAAACACATAACTTGGCCTTGAATATGTGTCATGTAAGATACATGTGGTGTTCAGCATACAGAGCCATACATGAGTCGCTTCAGATTCCAAGAGTGGGATAGTTGTTATTCGTGCCAGCATGTACAGCAAGGATCAAAGGTAGGCAAATACATCTATTTTGTAATACTATGTATGGAGTGCTTTGAACATGGCTTGTGATTAATTGCAAGGATGAAGACATAAAGGATGTATTTTACTAAGTGAATTCAGGATCCTCAAAGTTTTCCTCTTAAGAGAAAATGTTGAACAGCCTGAAAAATCAGATCCTGCAGGTGTAACGGTTCTTTAAAGTGACTGGGAAAGTAACATTGTTTGGCTTTAGGTTTCTGTGTGACTTCTGGACAAAGCCGGTAACCTTATTGAATTAGAAAGCTAATTTTTTTCTATTGTGTAATCTGTAAGCTTGATCTGAATGAGAAATCAAATTATTTCATCTTCTGTCACGACCAGTAGTTTCAAAACCCAATGGATTTTACAGATATGTTGACTTAATCGCTTTCCGGTTTGCCGATATCAGTGATAAACTTACGAGATTTTATAACTAGTAAATCTTATATTCTTATCCATAATTTTTAATCTTGATTGAAAAGAGGAAGACTGGTATTTTATGTCTCCTAAAAATATTCCTCATGCTTGAATGAATTAATAAAGCGAACCAAACTGAAATGAGAAGAACGTCATTTTTATCTGTGGAATTATGATTATCAGTTTTACAGATACGGGTTGTCAGCATTTATCCAGTGACTTCCTATAGTCATGCTAAGACTTTGAGCGGAGGAAGATTGATGTCTCAGATAAGGGTTTCTTTTAATTCATCTGTTTTAACGTATGGTGTTGGCCATAGTATGCTTTGTCATGATTTTAAATTTTAAGCTGTGTATTTTGCAGAGAAAATAATTTAAATTGTATTGTAAAATAATTTTAAATTAAAAACCAATTTATTTGTATTAAACCTGCAGAAGATTCTTTGGAAATCATTACAGCCTTGCCCAGCCATTTCTAGATCCACAGTTGTGCCTTAGTACTTTGCCTGAAATTCAAAACCAGATCCTGCAAATATTAATTCAATGAAGATAATAGAGTAAAATAATCACATTGAGGAGAAGGAATATTTTAATAGATTTTATGTATTAAAAATCATAACATAAACTTCATAATTTCTTTGTGATGAATAAGTTTTTACGGGGTTTTTTCCTAACCTCTCTCTTGATCTACCCTCTTTCTGGAAATGTTTTTTACAACAGTGATGAGTTCTTGTAATATTTCAAATAAAGCCAAGCAATGTTTATTTTTGTTGTATTTAATAAGTTGGAGTGAGTGGCATAGAATTTAAAGATGCTATCTTCCTGCAAAACTAGTACAATTAATCATAGTGCTTTCTTTATTTATTTGAAATGGTGAGAGCCCTTTCGTGTGTAAAAAGGAAAGTGCTATTGTCACCAAATTGCCTGTCTACTCTGAATATCCTTGCCCCACTCTCCTCCCCCCCACCTCATAGCAGTAACTGTTTCAGTACCACTACCTTCCCCCGAACATTGAAGAGGTTAAAATAACTCTTTGTACATAGACCTCGTTTAACTTGCAAGCAGTTTACTAAGATGATTTGCTGAATGTGATTGTTTTTAATGTATTTGCAGGTACAGAAGCAAAACGTTTATTTTACAACCAGTAGGTTACATTTCTTAATCACTATGGCAACACTGATGCATGGACCAATGCATTTTTATCAGCTTGGTAAGTTGCCTGTACCTTTGTGTTGTAAGAGGAGTATTACTGCTAATTTTTCACTAACATCTCCTGAGTTACTGAAGTAAGATACCATCATCTTATTATAGAGCTTTCCCTGGAATAATTCACAGAATCAAGTGTGAATCACAGAATACAGTAATGTATTGTATTCTACATACCCTATTCCATACATAAACCATGATTTTTTCATAAGAAAGAAATACTTTGAAACAACATACTGCATTCTGCCGCTCTAAATCTCCAGGGAAGTCTTAGTGGGATGTTTTGTTTTCCATTTCTTATTCTTTCAGGACTCTAGTTTCTGGATTAGCAGGCACAACAAACATAGTTTGTTGACTGAGCTGTAGTTGTAGAGAGAAACTGTTTTGATCATTTAATTCTGTAAAAAGGATAAGATGGTAAAGAAGATTCCCCGTTCAATTTACAGACCATCTGTATTTCTCCAGTTTTAATTTTCTCAGTTATTTGATCTAAGGTGTTTTTTTTTTCTTGTCTATGTCTCTTACATAAGAATGTAACCTACAAAATTTTGCAATTCTCCAACTATCTTTGCTAAACATGTTTGTTGGAACAAAGTTTAGAGGCAGTTTGAACTCTAGATGAACAGAATTTAATTTCGATAGGGGAGAGGCATTTAAAAATCACAAATGCAGACAGAATAGATAAAGATTTGTCAACAGAAAATACATCAGCAAGACAGCTGACACGTGTGAGGTGGCTGGCATAAAGGAAAATTGCCAAAAACATTTGCATCTCCTAATTCGAAGGGCCTGCTCCATGGAAGCATGTCATTACTAGAGTCTGAGCATTGACAGTACCTATTCTATAATGGGAATGTCCTTAATGTGCCAAAGGCTGTGTGTTTGTTGGAAGAAGGGAGTGTTCCTGCCACAAATAATTACAAACCTGAGCTTATGTTCAAGTACAGAACAATAAGCGTTAAAGTATTGCTTTGTTATGCATACCCACTGGATGTTTTTTCCAGATATATGATCTATTACCGTATGACAAGAAATCAGTTGTTCTACTTTTAACTGCACTTCTGTAAGAGGATGTTTGTTATTCAGTAATAACCTAGAAGAACAAGTGTAAAAGGAAGACATACAAGAGAGAGGATGTCTGTGGTTTGAAAGGCAAAATGAAACTTGAGAGAGATGAATTTTCTGTCTTATGGAAATAAAAATTTGCTGCATGTGCAACTCAAGTGAGCTTCTTAATCTCTTTGCATCTAATTTCAGAAGGGATGCTGGGAGCATGGTTTAATATTTGTGAGACAGGTGTCCGAAAAGCCAGATTTATAAGAGAGATTTGGCAAAGTATCCATCCCAAACGATTTCAGCAAACTTAGATGCCACGGTGTATTCGTGTGTGCTTCTGCGTGTGCCTCCTGCTAATTAAGGAGCAATTTTTGTAAGACACTTCTCTGTAGCCCTAAAGATTCTGTGCAGATATCTCTTTATTTAATTAATTGAGTAGGAAATTTTTCCTTTCCTCTTCCAGTACTCTCTGCAAAAGTATACAAGGAGTATAAAATAACTGCTTTAATGCATTAGGAAGTTATCCCAGTGTGTCTGGGACAGGACAGTTCCCACTGACCCACCACTATTCTGAATCACCTCTAATTTACCAGGAGTGTGTATTCTAGTATCATGTTTCACACAGTTGGGGGTTAGACCAGATGACCTCCAGAGGTCTCGTCCAACCTCAGCCACTCTGATAGTCCTGTCCTATCCCAAGCACAAGTACAGGCTGGGCAGAGGATGGATTGACAACAGCCCTGAGGAGAAGGAGTTGGGGGTGTTGGTTGAAGAGAGGCTCAACATGACCCAGCAATGTGCACTTGCAGCCCAGAAAGCCAATGGTATCCTGGGCTGCATCCATAGAAGCGTGGCCAGTGGATCAAGGAAGACGATTCTGCCCCTCTGTCTACTTTGCTCTTGTGAGACCGGGAGTACTGCGTTCAGCTCTGTGGCTCCCAACATAAGGACGTGGAGCTGTTGGAGTGAGTCCAGAGGAGGGCCATGAAGATGATCTGAGCTCAGGCTGGAGCACCTCTCCTGTGAAGACAGGCTGAGAGAGTTGTGGTTGTTCAGCCTGGAGAAGAGAAGGCTCCGGGGACTCCTTTTAGCAGCCTTCTACTACCTAAAAGGGGCCTACAAGAAAGGTGGAGAGGGACTTTCTACAAGGGCATGTAGTGATAGGACAAGGGCCAATGGCTTTAAACTGAAAAACGCTGTATTTGGATTAGATCTAAGGAAGAAATTCTTCCCTCTGAGGGTAGTGAGCCACTGGAAGAGGTTGCCCAGAGAAGTTGATGCCCTATCCTGAGGAGTGTTCAAGGCCAGGTTGGATGAGGCCTTGAGCAACCTGGACCAGTGGCAGGTGTCCCTGCCCATGGCAGAGGGCTTGGAACTAGATGATCTTTAAGATCCCTTCCAACCCAAACTGTTCTATGATTATTTGCAGATCTGTTTGGTTTAATTTTTTATAAGGTATGTCCCAAATTTATTTTCTCTTTTCATGGTCATTCTTAGTGTGGCACACCTTGTTGACTCATCAAGTAGTTCTGTTATATTATTTGTCATAGTGCGTCACTTGAGAACATCAGTTGTGGACCAGAGTGCTGCTGTGTTAGTTGCTGGACAAATGTAAAGTTGAAGACATTCCTCATGCTATAGCAGTTACGATTCTAAGTGAGGATGAGGAGAATAAAAGAACGTGTTAAGACAGTATTAATCACCATAGTTCAACAGAGGTATCGGGCCAGAATTGTTTTGGGAATTGTCATATTTTTAGGTAGAGAGTTTAGGTGTCCGGACAAAAGAGTTCATGGAGAAGAGTTTTAGGGAGACTAACGAAGTAATTTTGCAGCTATTTCCAGAGAGTTCATCTAAAGCATGAGAATAAGCATGCATGTTTGAAATTAAACTAATAACTTCTTTGGCCAACTGAGTATGGGAGTTGGCATCTCATCAGTAAGAGGATAGGCCACAAAATGCCTTAAAACGAAGACAGGAAGTTTATATTTGTTGCCCTCAGAAAGCGGAAGGGAGATAAAGGCTCTTGAGAAAAAAATTAGAAGGGTCAAACCAATAATTTCAAGAGTGTCTTGAAGCACCATGCTGAAATGATATGAATGATGCAAGACTGGGTTCATCACGGAAAAGAATTCTGGATGCAGAGAGAATCTGATGAGCGAACAGTCTCTTACACAGGTTATACAAGATGTGGGAGCCTCTAGAATGTCAGGAACTACAAGGAGGCTGGGTTCAAGAGATGACTCGTACAGTAGACCTGACTGACAGACGGAATGTGGCCTTAACAACATGCTGTGACAGGAAAACAAGTATTGCAGCATCTGTTGGTGGTTTTTTCTCTTCTTTTCTTTTGCAGTCAGAGACTAGAATGCTGTAGAGTTAAACACCCACAGGGAAATGTTACAGAAACAGGACACAAAATAGAGAGGGAGTTATGAAACAGAGCCTGAAATAGAGTGTTGCAGGAGTTAGCTGACTGAAGACAGTGAGTAGTATATCAAAGTTGTTAAACTACAGCTGTGAGGGCTCTCCACATTTAGCAAAGAAGGACATCTGTGAAGATAATTCAATAATGTTCTTCCAGCAGTAATAGTATCCCTTCCCAGACTTTAATCTTAAAACTTCCCAGTTTTAAGATTCTTGTCATGACTTAAAGTGGTATTTAATGGACAGAGTGAGCTAGCTACCTGAAATATAGTCAGAATCCACTAACGCAATATTTGATAAGAACATCTTAAGTACTTTTATCCATGCTGAGTCTTGAATCTCGTCTGGCAGGGATCAGCATAAGCCTGAACCACAGTGTAGTTACCAAAGAACTGTCTCCTAGGAGCTTTGAATTATTGACAGAGGTTGGAAGAGGGCATCCCATACTCTGGGGAAGGAAAGAAGGGCAGAGGAAAGTAGGAGGAAGACGACGTGAAAGAAAGAAACGGTGCCACTGAGGGAATACTGAGCACTGTCTCTAATAATATAGTAAGCTAATAATCAGATATTGTAGACATACAAATGCATTAATACATAGTTTCATTTTCCAGTGTACATCAGCGTTCTGACTACAGCTTGTTGGAGCTTTCCTGGTAAGAGTTTTTATTGTCTTTCAAATGCTTTTCCTAACAGTTCAAAGAACTTGTGTATTCTCACCAAGCATCGTTTTACAACTTTATGCTTTTTGAAGAAAGAACTTAATAGAAATATAATACAGGAGGACAGTCCTTTGCATTGTTGTTTCTGTTGTACTGAACTCCTTTCCAGTCTATGGTTGCTTTATTTTGGGGCAAACATTGGGCTCCTCTAATTGGGTTTATTGATCAGAATTGTTGCAACCTCACATTTGTTTGCCATTCATATAGGTGGGCTGTTTGGTTTGATTTTCTTTTTGTTTTTTTTCCATTTCTAGAAAGATTTCTGGGAGGGCCATCTCACAACCTACAAATGGAATCTTACAATTTTCAGCACATTTTGTCCTGGCAGACAAAAAGTGATCCAACTGTTCCAACATACTATCATGTGCTGTACACTGACCGCAGGCAAGTCTTACTTTATAAGGAACTAATTTTACTTTTAGTGTTTATCAACTGAAGGTACTAAGGCTGGAGTTTTATTGTTTGTTTGTCTGGTTTTCCACCTAGAAATGCTCCCCCTGCCAATGCTTTCTTCTATCCGAGAATCCAGATAGATCAATCTTTTTTTATAACTTGTTTTGATTTACAGGAACTGGAAGACTGCTGAACAATGTTTGAATATTACACAACTGTCCTGTAATCTGACAGATGATTTTAAAGAGATTCAGACTCAGTATTCTCTATTGGTTCAGAGCTTCATAGGAACTGAAGTATTCACTTCTAATGCACTTCATTTTTGTCCATTTACTGACAGTAAGTTCTCTGTCTGCATTTGTTCCTTTTAGTAGTTTTTATTCCTAGCTGATGTATAAATGATGTTCTGCTAGCTTTGCAGTAGGACACTCTAAACTAACTTGGTCGGTAGCTTATTCCTTTATCTAAGAGAAAATGAATTTGTGTGTAATCTATCAACATATCAGTTACAAGACATGAATATATAGGTAGCTTTCTAGAATTTGTGGTTACAGTAGTTCTGATAAATGGATGAGGCTCTGGTTTTGAAAAAAAAAATAGAGAGGAAGTGGCAAGCATTGACAAGCAAAAAGTAAAGATCTCTAAGTGCTTAAGATACACAACGTAAAAAAACCCACAACATTGACTGCTTGAGAACATAAAAACAATGTGAAGAGTTAAAGAAATACCATGTCTGCACTAGGTATAGGGGAAGAGATTTACTTGTTGGTTCATCAAACTGCTCTTTTCCCTTTCCTTGCTGAAAGAAGGGGCTTACTAGCTGTGACATCTTCTAATGCCAGAGGTGCCTTCACCCTTAGTTTTGCTTAGTATTCAGTTTTGAAGTAACAGAGATAGAGATTGAGGAACACCTGTTTAGAAAGTTTAATAATTAAAGTGATGTGCTGAAACTAAAGTTACTGACAATACCCGGGTTTTGTAACTTTAGACTAATCCAGTTCACTCGCTCTGAAAAAGCTTCCTTAAGCTTCACCAAAGATAGTGAGTGTAGCCTCCAGTTGGAGGACTATGGAGGAGAAATAGGTCGCATTACCCCAAATTCAGCACAGAGGTAGCCACTGCTGTGTCCACTTGCAGTCTCAAAAATGATGGAAAAACTGAAGGGGATGGAGAGAATAGCCACAAGCATAACTGAAGGATTCGAGAACATCGCTCTGAGGTGGAGGCCTTCAGTCTTTCAGCAGGTAAAGAGAAGGTGCACTGACCACTAGTTAATACGAAGGCAGGTTTCTTCAGTCTTGCAAACAAAGCATAACAGAGTGCCCTGACTGGAAGCTGAAGCTAGATAGTTTTAGCTAGGAACAAGAGGCATGGTTTGAATTGACCACTCGAACAAACTCGGGTGCTCTGACTTGTTGTCCATCACTGGCATCTTGCAAAATGAAACTGGATGTTTTGCAAGTAGTTCTCTAGTTCAAACCACAAGCGATTGAGTGCTGTCATGTTTTCCAGGGCACAGGACTTAGATGAACTCTGTAGTCCTTTTTTTTGTTTCACAGAGCCTTAATAGGAAAGAATCAGAATTCTGTGGTATTTCCCTATTGGGTGTAGTTGATACCTATCTTCAAATACCTACGGTGGAATCTCACTCCTTTTGGCAGATGGATTTGAGTGAAGACAGAAAAGCTTTATAACAAAGAGCCAGAAGAACCATCACATTTAACTGTAACCAGATTTAAGCTAATGTTTATTCGCAACTTAAAACAAAAGTTGAGAAAGGAGTAAGTGTGCAACCATTTGACTAGGACATGCTTTCCTGTTTAAGAGTAGATGAAAGCTCACGTTTGTTCTAAGTATTAAACTTTTTTTTTTTTGCTTTCTACACTATTTCAGGAGCAGTAGTTAGCAAATGTATATCGCTTTTCTGAATTTTGCAGAGGCTAGTCTCCACCTTGATCAAAACTTTCATGCTTCTGGAAAAGACAAAAGTGATATGCAGACTCTCTAAATTTTCATGGGTTTTGCCCCCACATTGTATGTACTACATAGAAACGGAGGATTATGGAGATAGTTTGTTCTCGCATCATTTTCCAACATTCCTACTTTCCTGTGTTGGGAGAAAGAAGATCTTAGGCTTGATTCACTATGGAAGTTCCTCTGATCTTGATGGATGTGTAGTTTCGGAGAGAAGAGACAATTAGTATGCGTGTCTCTTCAAACACATACCTGCTCTGAGGACATGAACTCGAGAGGTTATTTTGACCGCAATGGAAGTCTCGCAGAGGTGTAACTATGTTTCACTAGGTCCTCTGTCCTGCTGTCAGGGAGCTCAGCTGTCAAGTTTAGACCTATAGTCTTCCTTGCAACCACTGAATTTCTACAAAGATTCAGAGAGTGACTAGAAGATGATGTTGAGCAAGAAAGCGGTCAATTTTCCTATACATTAACATCAGCTTTCCTCTCAAATATATAGAAAGCTCACATCTTTGTGGAGCTGAAGCAAAGCCTCTGTCACCTTTCTGCTTTTTTGCTCCCCTCCACTGCTTTCTGTTTTTGGAATCTAGTCATGTGGGAAAAGATAATTTGACTGTGGAACTTAAATGTTGCAAGACCTTGTGAGTTTACAACAGTGACATACTCTGAAATCTGATTAGCCAGCTATATATCCATCACTGAAAAATAGTTGGTCCTGAATACATAGTGTGTATTTTTTTCCCATAATTTTTTTTCTCTTTCTTTTTTAATAGCATTCCTGGGACCACCAGAAGTTAATATCAGTTCCTGTCTAAACTGCATAAATGTCACCATAAAGCTGCCAACCTCTCATGTCAGAAAAAATGGAAAGCTACTGTCTTTAATTGATATATATGGTGAGCTTGATTATGATATAACACTGAAAACACGCGACGGAGAGCATAAGGTAAAGAACTTTTTGGTTCATTTGTGCTTTAGGGGAGAAATACAGAAAGCCTAAAATGGCTCTGATGGTTATCAGATTTACAGAAGCAAATATGTGAATAGAAGATACTTAGAAGAAAACAAAGAGAATGGCCAACATAACCTTAGCTTCCTTTTACTGTAGAGTAGCAGGCCTAGAAGGGGAATACTAGTTGTCCTCTATCCTTACTTGAAATAAAGCACAGGGCACTGGCTCAAGTGTTTATTCTCTGGGAAGACAAGGGAAAGACAGTTTAGCAGAAATGACTAGCAGATACATGCTAAGAAAATATGTTCATAAAGCAGTTCAGTAGTTTTCTGTCAAGCTGGAAAACTGTGTCCATTTAGTTTCTGAAACAACGTATTCTGGATCTGATACTATTTAATTTATGTAATTTTTTTTATATGCTGAGATAGAGGTAGATAGGCACAACTAGAACTTAAAATGGTCCTCACAAAAATGGAGAAATAATCTTAAAATAATAGAAGATAATAAGGACTGAAGCAAGGCATAACTGTTAAGAAATTGTCTGTACAATAAGTAGAGTGGTGACAGCTACACAGGCGACAGTTTTGCTTGAAAGGACGAGAGTGTTCTGTCATGTTACAAGCTAAACATGACTCACATGTTGCTGAGAGAGAAGAAAAAAATAATGTGTATTTTTATTTACTTAGTATTTGTAAAGCCCACCTGCCCTGTACCAGTCTGGAGTTCAGGAAAGGCATGAACCAGTTGAGTAGGATCCAAAAGGGAACAGTGAGGACTGTAAGGGATCCTGATATGTGACCTGTGAGGAAATGCTGGAATAACAGGGAACCACACAGTGTAAGCAAGCAAAGCACAGTTAGAGGCCAGAGTCTCTGAGTATGTAAACATTTACTACAGAAAAGGAGGGAATAAACCATTTACTGTGACTGTGATTGAAAACATTGGTTTGGAAAACATTGGGGAACTGGCAGTTGTGCAGACTTTAGGTTAAACATCAAGAGAGACATTAATATCAAGGCTGGTGAAGCACTACAATAAGTTGCCTAGCTTAAGCATGGACTACTCGTACTGAATGTTTTGAACAGCAGCTCAGACAGGTACCTGTTGGAAATGTAATCTGTCTAATGCATTCTGCCATGAGGCACAAAAGAAGGACCACAGCTTGCCTGCCGTGGATATTTTTTCCCTGATCTCTGAATCAGAATACTATTTGCAGTTTCAAATCTCTAGAATCTACGCGAGGCTACTTCAGGGGGACATGTAGCGACCAACAGTTGGAGACAGAAGGCAATTAATCTTTGCTAATACGATATTTCACAAATAGGTGTAAGGTAGCCATCTTGACATCAGCTAGAAGCAGTTGTCCAGGTAAACCATTGGGTTACTGTGTTGTTTTTTGCAGTTTTCGATGTTACTGCATTTCTCTGAAATAGCCGTGATGGTTTGTGGCTGGGGATCTCTTTTTAGGCAAATAGTTAACTTTAAATGTTGTCTTTCATGACAGAGGCCGCATGAGAAAACCACTGAAGAAGTTTTTAGTACTGTCATTGAAGAATTGTATCCAAATAGAAATTACTGTGTGTCTGTTTCGGTCACTGCATCTATAAATAAACATTCCATCCCATCAGCCTGGAAATGTGTAGCTGCAGACTCTGTAACTCGACAAGGTAACTGTGCTGTGGTGCAGGAATGGACTGTCTGACTTAATTATTTGCAAGTGTTTTCTTTGTACGTAGGAGGATGTACAAGTTAATCCTAAAAGTAATAAGAGAAAGTACCTTCTGAGTGATAAACATTGTGGGGGTTTATAAGTGAAATACAAAAACCCGTCCACTTTGGGGCTACAAATCTGTTGTTAATCCTGTGAGCTGTACAGATCTCCACTAACTGCATAAACAGTTATCGAAGATGATGTAATTCGTTTTTTAATTTCTGAATCTAATTTGAGATTTGGTCTTGTTTTGACTTCGAACTCGATGACCTCCAGAGGTCCCTTATAACCAAAATTGTTCTGTGATTCTAAATAGCTGTTCTGAATGTGAAGTATGAAATGTAGTCATTGGAATCTTCATGTATGTTTATTCGGTTTTTTTTTTTCACTTGCAGATTATCATACATTTGCAATCACAGGCGCTGTATGTTTTTCACTGATACTAGCTGGTGCCCTGAAGTGTGTTCATGCAGGATGTTATATTCTTAAAAAAAAACCACTTCCCTGTGCCTTGGTATGTAATAATTCTCATGTTTAACCTTTCTGGTTGGGAGGAGGAGGTTTACGATGTGAAATTTCTAATCTTGTGGATTAGGTAGTGTCATGGTTTAGGCCGATCCGGCAACTAAACTCCACACAGCTGCTCTTTCACTCCTTCTCCAGTAAAGTGGAGA